CGAGTTAGCCTTCTTCGCAGCTGTTCTTTCAAGTGTCATGCAATGCTCTCTGGGTGTTGCGTGACATCTCAAGAACTGCTAGAGACTAGGCACTAATGGATTACCAAATTATTTCAAAGCCAGTTGGAGGATTACCAAGGCCTATTGGACGGGTCTTTTTTATGCAACCGATTGTAAAAATTTTTTGTCTTCTAGTGAACAACGCCGGTGTTGGTTGTGTGGCGCCTCTGGAATGCATGACAATGGAACACATTAAACAAATGTTTGACGTTAATTTCTTTGGATCCGTTCGTTTGATCCAGGCTGTTCTCCCAGGCATGAAAGCGAGGCAGGATGGTTACATTGTTAATGTCAGCAGTATTTTTGGAATAACGGGTGGACCATTTAACGACATGTATTCTGCAGCAAAGTTTGCAATGGGAGGATTGACAGAGTCGCTGGCACCTGTGTTGAAACAGTTCAATATTAGGTAAGTGGTGCTATTTCATGAATCCTCGTTACGTAAACAGTATTTCAACTTTTTCATGTGAGGTGAATGGTGAGTTACAATGCTCTATTGATTGAGGTTTTTCAGTTTCATTATACTGTAACATTAAAATCAATTTGTAATTTGCCAGGATCTCTTTGGTTGAGCCAGGACCGGTTGTCACTTCGTTCATCAGTAACTTGAAGGGTATGGTAAGTCAAGTGGACCTCTCAACCGCTGACAAAAAGTCAATCCAGCTGATGCAATCTGTGATTGCTACGATGACAGAGCTGACAGCCAACGAGGGACAAAAATCAGAAGAAATCGCTGAAACCATAAAGGAGATCTTGCTATCGGCCAAGCCTCACATCCGATATCTGACTAACAAAACTTACGGTGTAGACGAGGCGAATTCTAAATTGTCTGATCTCACCGGTGACAAACTCGTTGAGGTACTGGAAAAAAGGTTCTTTCCAAAGTAATGCCTTTTCTGTTTCATCCTCAGGCAGCCGGATTGACCGCAAAGTTAAACCGGTATTCAGTTTGTGAAAGGTTTTTTAACTATGATAGGTAACATAGATTTTAGGGCACAAAATAATAACTCTGTATTTCAGTGTTGACTGAATGTTCATGTGTAATAAATTAGAGAAAAGGAAGATGTAATACGAGGAGGAAAGAAAACACATGTGATCTGTATTCCTGAGGCAAAATAAATTTTGAAAAAAAATTTTAGGATCCTACGTCATTCCTACTTTTTTGGCTTGTAATTGGTCTTTTCAAGGAACCCCGAGAAACCCGCGAGAGCAATGATACAAACTGATCGCAAAAATATATTTCAAAGTCTTCGTTATCAAAAATCATAACTTAGACAGAGTGCGTAGTTCTTTGCTTTATTGAAAAAAAAATGGTAAGAATACAACTGCAGGCTTTTCGTACCAGAATAGTTTTTCTAATAAAGTAGTTTTTGAAGAAAAGTATCAGTTCAAAATATCAAGTTTAGACATTCCCATATATTTGACCCGTGTTTATAGATAAGGTTCTTTGAAAGAGCTATTTCTCTATATCTTCATTTAAAGGGCAATCTTGATCTTTCTTTTCATCGTTGATAACTCCCTCCGGCTTCAGACCTTTAATTAAATGCAATGGAAGAATGATCAGTATTACTTTCTAATGTATTATCTATAGGTACATGTGGCACTGACGAGAACGGAGAGAACGGAGAACGTTAGTCCTTTTCTTCATAGCTTAAGTGAATAATCACGGATCAGCCATTTTCCAAAATTCAAATTGAAGTCAGTAATTTAACAGATCTACTATTTACGTTTCGAAAGCCATTTAAATCGCCCATCCATTTCAAGTCGAGATTCATGATGGTTTGGTAATTTTAATCTCTGAAGGTAAAAGCGTTTTATCACTTACGTTCTTCCTTTTGGTGATCCATTGGTTTTTGATCCCTGCGCTTTAAGATCCTGTTATTAAGAAATCAAAAACGTGCTCCATTTAGTATTGAAAATAAAGGAAAAGTAAGACGTGGGGGGGGGGGGGGGAGGGGGAGCGGGGTGAGGGCGGGGGTTTTAGGTTCTTTGTCCTCTTTGTGAAGAAACAGTATACTATATCATGAATGAAAAAAAGGGAAAAATAGAGAAATCGGTGGTGAATCCCAAAACCCTACATCGATCGGTAAACCTAGGAGGCCTCCAGTGTAGAACAAGACTGTCGTGACCGAAGCGTTATATTGAATTTGTTGATAGGTTCGTGACGGAAGAACAAAAATATGATAGGTGATTTGGGTTGATTGATTGTGAGATCAGAACTACTAGTGAGTAGGAGAACAAAATAGTGTCCATCAAACCAGTGTGATTGTTTGTCGTGAGATCATTTACGACAAAGGCTTTAACTTGAACTGATATAGCAGTAAAGGGGACTTGATAATAAATAATTGAAGAAGAAAAAATGCCACAAAAATAGATGAATGAAAATAGAATAGATGACTTACTCGGTCAAAATAAGGGCAGCTATCATCAGAAATGCCATGACAAGGAAACAAAACCCATTTAATCCAATGTGTAAAAATAAAGGATAAATTGAGTTAAATAGGGCGGCGCCAAACAGAGTGCAAATTGTCTCCAGAGTCGCAACAGCAGCAAACAATGCACCTAAAAGCAAAACAAGAGGAATTTTTCAAAATAACGTGCAAGTTGGGATTCGGCAAGTAACAACGTACTCTTTTCCTTGATTTCTGGTAAATCTTAAAGTTCCAAATTTTTTCCTCTAAATAATCTTTATAGTCTCAGACAAGAGAGCAACAAGGTAAGCGGGTGAATTCTCCTCAAAATCAAAGCCCCTTTCCAAAATAATTCATCGTTAATCACTATTTTAAGATTAGTCCCATGTTCGCCATATGCAGAAGGATTTGTCTTTTTTTTTTTCGAATGCCAGTTCGGCAGATGAAAGAATATTTGTAGAAGTTGTAGATAAATTCTTAAGCTATGCATTTTGTTTACCTTGTTCATCTGGATCAACCATTTTGGACATCATGGCTCTGATAACTGGAGTTGGAATCCCACCAAGACAGGCTACAAAAGGAACTAACGCCCATTCAAGAAGTTTAGTGCTCCTTAGCGTATTATAAAGGCACAATTATCGCGCTGCTATACTTCTCTATGACCATATTATGCTCACATGTTATAGTTTTAGCTCTTTACCTAACGGTCATTTAGACCATAATTATGTGACTTGCCACGTTTTTCCATAGTTATTTGTTAACTTTTCAACTTATTAATGATAATGACTTGGCGGTAGAAAATCCAAGAGGTGACTCTTCCTGTCCATTGTTGGGTTTTTCGGAGGGAGGAAAACCGGAGGACCCAGAGGAAAAACCCTCGGAGCATTGATGAGGGTTTTTTCTCTGGGTCCTGACGAACATTAACAAACTCAACTCACGTGAGACACCAGGTACTGGAATTGAACCCGTGCAACAGTGGTGAGAGGCGAGTGCTCTCACTACTGCAGTCTGCGTAGGAGAATGACCGCCAGAGAGTCCCTAAGAGCTTATCCAGTTTTCAGGAGAGTTAAACGACCAAAAAGTTTGCCGGTCCCTTCTTTGTTAAGATTGTAGTCATGAAAACAAATTCCTCCTTCTCTAGCATTTCCTTAACTATTGACTATAATTCACTTTAAATTTCCTGAAGAAAGAAGGCAATGGGTATGAGCATGATAAATCGTCTTTCCTGGTTAGTTCAGGGTAAGGCTCGAACCCAATCCCTCCAATCTAATCCCGGTTTTTGGAAGGGTGGACAACGCTATTTACTGGATTAATCTTTATCAGGTGAATAGCACAGTGCGTGTTGTTAACAATTATCCATTGGACAGTGACCTATCCCTTCGATAGCGTTATGAAGTCCACTGCACTACCAAACTTACCAACAAACAACGCTCTCTTGCTTTTAACAAATGCCATCATAACCAGTGAACATATCACAGATATCATTCCTACTTGCATAAGAGTATGCTCTGATAAGATCATTTTTAAAAATTTCAGTCCAAGAATGGCCCCAACAGCTTGCACAAAGAAGCTCGTTGCTAGGTAATAGCCAATCAGGATAGAATTACAACACAATGGACGATCGATGGCGTAAAGTACAATGACACTGCCAAAACCAATCGAGGACACAATCATAAGGCCAGAGGTAAACATAAGTATGCACATGCGCCATCTTTCGCCAGATCGAGGGTTTGTAAAGATGCATATGATGACCCGGATGTGATGTAAACTGAACACTTTTACGTTGGAATTCTCCATTAAATGTTTCGCTCTTGACTCAGGAAGTTTTAAAACTACGTAAAACAGCGCGAAAGTGTGAAGCGATAAAATCATCATGTACGGTGCTTTGTAACCTGTTTTGTTTATTAGCCAACCGCTGCTTAAATGACTGAGCATACCGCTTATAAAGGCAGTTGCCTCTAGGATTCCGAGTCGAAAAGCACGTTGGGACTCTTCTGTAATATCTGCCACATACGAAAACACCGACAAAACCATTGTTGGGAAGAAACCACACAACCCATTTATAAATCCTGCTAAAAGTAACGTCTGGATGGGAAGATTGAACGCGATAACCCATAATATTATGGCTGACTCTATTGCACTTCCAAATATGGGTAAAGCCATCACTCTTCTTCGCCCCGCGCGGTCGGACCATGCCCCTAAAAACAGCGCGACCAAAAGTGACGGGGCACTGGCAGAGAACACCATGCCGAGTTGCATAAAGGAAGCTTCGGACTGAACTTCTTTTTGCATTTTTAAAGTTTCTCCATTTCGAGTGGCTCGCATAGAATCGCAATTACTTAGACTAGCTGTAGTGTTGTAGATAATGCCTTTCTCCTCGGCGATTCGTCGGTGGATATACTGTTGAATGACTGGGACGTGAAGAATTATCCCAAACGCGTAACAAAATATCACTGGTTCAACTGTGATTTTATGGATGCAATGTTCCTTACTGCTCTTTTCCGGAAGGGACTTTGTTTCCTTTGTCATCTTAAAAAAATTCATGGTATAAAATAGTAAAATCTTGAAGAAAGACTTGGAAGTAAAAATCGCTGATCAAAATTAAGATAGCAAAAGTTCAGACCTGGGTTTACGGAATGATGAAATACACTCGCATGTCCGAGCCCGCCATTGGGAAAAGCCTGCAATTTTTTTTATTCTAAGATGGTAAGTTAAAAAGCTAGCTTTATATCGGGGGATCTGAGTCTCTGCTTCTCATAGTCCATCGCATCGTATGGATCCATCTAAGAAAACTAAACCTTTCTCTGTTGCATGTGTACGTCCTCTAAGGAGCAAATCTCAATAAAACAATAATCTGAGAAGATAATTGCGTCGAGTCGAACTCTGATGAAATACGCCTCGTGACATAAGTTTTAGTTAGCCTTGGAACTCTTTATAGATTTTGGCTTTTACTATATGACTATGAAGAAAACCCTTAGAGAAAAATTTTTTTCGCCAGACATTGCACACGATGGTCGAATTCTACAGATATGAACTCAGAACGGTCTTGTCGTGTTGCCCCGCACCAGTGAAGCTCTCGCTCGATGACAAATCAAAAGAGTTGTCACGTGTATCAGGCCCAGTCAATAAGTAGGACAAATAGAAATATATTTTACAACGTACCTTTGAATTTATCCCATTATCTTGTACCTAAGATGACCGAAGTATTAGCGGCGACATCTTTGAAATAGTTTTGACATCCTAGCTTAGAATTATTTACAAGCTTTCATTGATCGCTCGATGTTTGTTTACGACTGTTGACCAATAGAGTCCTTGCTCTTGTGTTGATCTTGAGAAGAAATTTTGCTGGTACCAGTAATTCAAAACGACAATGATTCCTGTTCCGATTGTGGCTTTATTTACCATAGTCTAGAGGTAACACTATGCAGAGAAAAAAACGTAGAAATATATACTCAGTTATGTTAAATGGTTAGCTTCTTCACTGTACTTCGATTCTCAAAGAAGAAGTCAGAAATTTAAGTTAAACCAACAAGATCACGATTCTTACACCACAACAAGTTACAGTGATCTCGCGTAACTGAAAAAAACAAGGTCTCCCGTGATCACGCGATAGAACGCCCTTGGATGACTGTGACCGTAAAATTGGATTCAGCCAATCAAAGCAAAGGTCACGAAACCAGCGATTCATGCGCGGGAAAACGCCTATAACCACGTTGCGATCTGTTTTGCCTGTTGCATCCCATTGGCTGAGATGGTACCTAGTGCAATAGTGCTAGTTTAATATTATACCACGATAAATGTTCCCTGGGGAAGGGTAGAAAATGTTACGGCCATTGACGGATAGCTGAGTCGTGGGTTAAGATTTTCGAACTTTTTTGATCATAGATGGGAGCATGGTAACCAGTCTACCATTACATCATCTTTCAAGAGAGCCTGCGAATACAACCCAGCCAGCGGTTTCGCTGATCCAAAATGGCGGACGCACAAGGCCCCTCACAAGGCGAAAAAGGTTGTTTTCTCATTGCATCATGTGAACATTTTAAAGAACGGGTGAGTTTAGTGAGTAACGTTTGTTTTTCTTCGTTTTCCTACAGATAAGAAAGGAGAAGGTCAGCCAGTGAAGTCGTCAGGTGCCACAGAAGGAGGAGAAACTGTGAGTACTTGTCTTGCCTCTTACGAGAAAATTTAACTATTCGATATCTAGTAAGTACTTCATTCAATAATTAATTACATTTTTAACTTCGTTTTAAATCTGTTTTGATCGTTACTCGCACTGAAAAATATCTCTTAAAGTTTTGCACACATTCTGAAAAGAAAACTGAAAAATTTTCCAATTAAACAAATAGTCACAGTGGCGGAAACTTCCTTAGAAGACCTCGTAATGTCTACAACGTCAGATTTACCCTATATCGTTATTTTTATCTTCACCTTTACATTGAATTTGAACTTACAATGCTCTTTCTCTCCTCTAAATTCTCTTGTTACCTTTTTAGCTCCAAAGATCTGATTCTTAATTCTCCCTACTACCGGCTATTTATTCCTGTATAACTAAGTTGGGGGATTTTGGTGTTCTACTAAGATAACTCACTCTAGCTGATAAATTTGCTTAAATTATCATCACCTTTTGTTAAATAATAGCGGAGCTCACAGGGTGTAACCCCATAATTATACAAAATAGTAGTAACCCATCAAGCCGAAAAAATTGGATGTGCAACTGTACAACTGTATGACTGTACAACCGTATGACCGTATGACCGTATGACCGTATGACCGTATGACCGTATGACCGTATGACCATATGACCGTATGACCGTATGACCGTATGTCCGTATGACCGTATGACCGTATGACCGTATGACCGTATGACCCTATGACCGTACACCTGTACGCCCATACGCCTGTAAAAGGTGCTACTTTTAACATGCGTGGTCAACTGTACTGCGGGCACACCAACACCACAGCTTTGTTTAGTAGTCCAGTGGTCAGTGTACTGGGCTCTGAGTTGGACAACCCAGGTTCTTCTAGTCCTGGTCGGGGCAAGGTGTTGTGCCCTTGAGATGTGTGGGGAAAAAAAATGCGAGCTCCACTTTTAGGCTTGGCTAAATCTATATATTATTTTTAGAAATTACTTCTAAGGGGGTGTAAAGTTTAGTTTTCATTGTACATACTGTTCTCTTTAGGGTCCTGGTAGTGGCCAATCAAAAAGTCAGCAGCAGAGAAAGGGAGGCAAACAACAAAAGAGCGGCAAGAAACAACAAAAACAACAAAAACAGAAGCAGCAGCAACAGCAACAGCAACCTCAACAACAACAACAACAACAACAACAACAAAAGGCAGGTGCACAGCCCAGTGGAGGAAAGGTTGATAAACAAGTGTCTGGTAAGGATGAGAAGCCAGCCACACCAGGAAGTGAGGCTAGTGAACAGCCACAGAAGACCAAGGCTGAGCTAAAAGCTGAGAGAAGAGCTGTTCAGGTGCGTGGTTGTTTTTGTTTGGTTTTGTTTTGTTTTTTTCATCTTATTGACTTTGTGCTTTTTGTGTTTTATGTGGTGTGTGGTGTGTTTGCACGTGATTGGTACCTTACCCTAATTTCCATCATTAAGTGGTTGCCTTATTTTTCTATTCCTCTAAGATTATTAAGAGCAGCTTGTACTCTCTATATTGTTTATAATTACTGTTATTTACTTCTAACTGTTTGGTAAAAATAAAGTTGTCATTGTTGTTGTTGTTGTTGTCGTCTTTGGAATACTGTCCGGTTGTTTTATGATTATCAAATGATTAATTATTGCTTTTTCTTGACAACAATGGAAATTATATTCTCCCAAGGATTCCTGAATAATATGTTTGAAGTGCAGGACCCTGTTGTTCAAAGGACGGATACTATTGTCCAATAGATAAGCTATCCAGCAGATAAAAGTCTAAAAAATGTATTGTGGCATCCACTGGATACAGTTAATCCAGCATTCAAACAATTGGGCCCAGGTTGTTATTGGGAAATGTGCTGTTGTAACCTTATTGGTGCTGTTTTTCAATTTTCACAGGAAGCGCAACGAGCAGCAAAGGCTCAAAAACAAGCAGAAACTGGAATAAAACACAAGACAAGCACTGATGGTACTGTAGGAATTATGGATCATTTTGTTTACATGTTCCTTCTTTGCTTCCTCGTCCTTCCCATTTTTCCCTCTCTCATTTTGATTTTTTTTATTTGGGTGGTATTTTTTGCTCAGTTGATTTTATTCTACACATAAAAGAAACAAAATGAAATCATTAGTTAGAGCTGTGCTCTTAAAGAGTTGAGTTCAGGTTCCTCAAATGATTAGGTTTCTCTCTTCTCTACATAGAGGTGACTTGTATAACTTTGCTTTTAAGCAAAAACATGGTTTAAAAATCATTTACCCTTTAACCTCACAAATGACCAAGACAGAATTTCTCCTTATGTTATCAATTTAATATCAAGCAGACGAGTGACAAGAATAAAGAAAAATATCAGGTAGAGGATTATAAGTTGATACAAACAGGGCGTAAAATTGTGCCTAATACAGGCGCCAATGTGCCTAAATTTTTCACTTTGGCGACCAAATCCTGAAAGTTAGTTGCCAAATTGGCGACTAGAACGTTTCATCATAACCTTACCAAGAGATATAGTGAATTAAAAAGATTTGCAAAGATAAATCCGCGGCAAACTTCCTCGTTAAGTTTGTTTCCAAAACGCAGCACATGCATCTCGATCGATAACTAGACGCCATCTTGGATTTAGATGAGCCTGAAGGTTGTATATCATCCATCCTAGTGTCCACTTTGTAGCACGTTAAAGATCTTTTCCCTATCTTAATTTTGGAGGGTCTATCTAGAACGCTGACAGCGTAAAGAAAGATTTCGTTTGTCTTTGAAAATGGCGACCAACTTTTTTTGAATTGGCTACCACTTTGAAGAATTTAGTAGCCAAGTGGCTATCAGAAAAAAAAGTTAATTTCACGCCCTGACAAAACAAAATTGTACGAGCTAGCAGTAATAAGAATTGTATGGCAGATATAAAGGAGAATTACCGATGAGATCCTAAGAGTGAAAGAGTGTTAGCTTTTAAAAGCTCAGCACCCGAGATTTTTGACACAGGATCCTTGTTAGTGGTGACTCTTCTAAGAGAACACCTTTGATCAGTAAGTTTGGTTTCAACAATTTGTCTTTGTTTCTTCACCTCTTAATATATTAATTTTTTTTTATTTATGTATGATTAGGAACTAATCGTATGAAAGTGGCTCATGATCTTCAAGCTGATGATGAGAAGGTCCAAAAGAAAGTGGCCAAGAAACTAGCAAGACAGCAGGTCAGAGCAGCAATTATACTGCCTAACCTATTGAAAAACTTCACTATGTTAATAATTTCTGTTTCAGTGATGTACATGTAACTCAAGCATGTATGTTGACTTCATATTTCCTTTTTTTTTTAATGCCAGGTTCCCCAGCGAACAACACCTCAAAAGAAAGTTGGTTTATTTTCCCATCTGCATCAATATGAAAAGGATGTGTCCT